CCAAGTAGGGGGTGGAGCTCCAGTGGGAAACGCGCAGGGCGCGGTGGGCAGTCACGTCCGGGGACGAGATACTGCGCCCACTGGGCCGCGTGGCCTGCGCCGGGCCATTGGCGATCTCAAAGCCCGTGTCGACCAGCGCCGCCGCGAGGAGTTCAGCTTCCTCCGTCGGCGGCAGGTGACTGTCCCAGAGCTCATGGTGGCGGTTGGCGTCTCCTGCGACGATCGCTGCAGAACCGAGACGCCGAACAATGCTCACTAGTTGAGCAGCATGAGCCAGTGCCGGTGGGGGGTTGTAAAAACTCACCACGCAGATGCTGGGAAAAGCAGGCGGGAACACGCGAACGGCAATAGCCTGTAGGGGGTCGGTGCCAGGGAGCGTCAGGCACTCGCACGGCAGGGCGTGGCGGACCAGAACGGCAACTCCACCGCCGCGCCCACCGCGGGCCCGGTGGAAGTCCGTGTACCCAATGAACCTCTTCGCCGTGGCATGCTGGTTCTTGACCTCCTGGAGGAGAACGATGTCTGGCTGATGCCGGGCCAGACGTGCAGCTAGTGCGATGTTCTTGAGAGGCGAAAGGCCCGCGATGTTCAGCTGCCAGACGACAACGGAGCCGTCCTCATCGGGGCCCGGGTTCTTACGCGGACATCCCCGCAGCGGGTGATGTCGACGGAGTGACCGAAACGAATCGGTCGTGCTGTTTTGTCGGCCGGTCTGCACGCAGACCGCTTCACCTCCCCACACCGGACACGGCGTGGAACCTTCTCGAGGGGCGAAGTCGTCTTGGTCTCCGTCGTGCTCGCAGCAGTGCCCCGCTGCGGAGTTCTCGTGGCCCAAAGCCGCGGCACCGCGTCAAGGTGCGGCGTCATTCATTTGGGGGAAATCGCGCTTGGAGGGGCAATCCTCGCCGTCACCGTTGCGGCAAAAGCGCCCGGCGGCGGCGAAGCACCGGGGCACACACCGTGGGGTGCACCTGTTCGCGGGGCCCGAGGAGGCAGAGGGAACCCGCCACGATTGACACCCTGCACGGTGCTGCACGGCTTCCTTCGGCCGAGGCACGCAAGGCCTCGCTCGCATCCCCGCAGCCGCGCGCCTCAGGCCCCCAACGCCGGCAGGAGCAGTTTGCGCGAAAGAGCCGCCCTGCGGGACGTGAAAGCCAGTGCGCGGCGTGAGCCGTGATATGGCCGTGAGGCGTGGTGCTCCGCCCGGGGCGTGGCAGAGCAGAGCGTCCCCGCAAGGTGCTTCTCTCCCGCAGGCACGCAACGAGGTCACCGCTAATAGCGGTAAGCGCCGACCCGGGCCCGATGCAGGCGGGGAAATGCCCCAGAGAGACCGGAGCCCACCGGAAGAGAGGCGAGTGCGCCCTGCCCGCGCCGTTGTCCACGAAGGTCTCGTCGGACCGCTCTGCCGCGACGCCGAGGTCTTCCGGCGAAGCCGCGTCGCGCGCAGCCCCGTTGCCGCTGCGGGCGCGGCGGAGGCCCCTGGCGACGGCAAACGCAGGGAGCTCAGCGTTGCCCGGGGAGAAGGCGGTGCGGTTGCCGCAAACCCCGCCGTGGTTGCCGCGGAGGAACGCCGCCCACCAGCGCACGACGCGGCTCGCAACAGCCGGTCACCGCGCCCGACTGCGACGGCGGCGTTGGTCCACCCCGCAAAAACGGCGGACGCCGCGCAGTCATTCAGAGGGGCACGGTGCATGGCCGCCCAGTGGGGCGACGCTTCTCCGTGGGGAGAGGATCCGCGCTGAAAATCAGACCGCCGCGGGGCCTGCCGGGGCTCCGCGGCAGCACGGGCGCGAGCGGCAAGAACGCTCTCCCCCGTCAGATCGCGACGGCGCCCGGCCCGCGCGACCGGCCGGCAGGTCACTCGCTCGGAAGCCTTCCTCTACTTCAAGAGGGGCATGGCAACGCAGCGCCGCCGGTTCCTTGGGGCTTTCCCCGCGCAAAGGCTTCTGCCGCATCGGCGGCGGCGGGCGCCGATCTGGGGTGCTTCCTCGCCTTCGCGGCGCGCAACTTTACGAGATGGTTTCCTTTCGAGCGCGTCGCGCGCGCGGTGTCATCAGCTTTCGCGGCCGAAACTCCGAAAGGGCGAGAAGCATACGCACGCGGCGTGCTGCAAGCCGTCTATTGTCGTCTGCGGCGTCGAGTTTGGAGAAGACTGTGGGTGCCAGCGGCTTTTGGCGGCGGCGCGCATGGGGATCTCCATGTCGAAGTTTGAGCCGCTGCCAAATTCTGCCGCTTGGGAATGCAAAATGGCTGCAGCGGGCGCCTTCGTAACAGGACTACCCCGCGTTGGCCGCCTGCCGTCCGCCCGGCGCAATTCTTTTTTTCTGCGCCGGCTGCGT